TTATATATTAATAATAAAAAATATAATAAATACACCTTTAATATGTATTATAAAGACACAAATTAAAAAGGCTCTATTTAACAATTTAAGTTTAAATTATTAATAACTACCAACTAACAAGGATTAAAAAAAATTATATTCCATGTAATTTTTGTCTTAATCAATTTACTTAAAAGAATTACTACTATCTAGAGAAAATATTAAAAATAAAAGCCATGTCCCCTTCTCATTCAACATTACTGCATAAAAGTTAGATATATATATCTAGTAGCCATACTTTCCTTTACCTACCTTCAATAATTGATATTTTTTTAAAAGACAAGGGGAGAGGAAATGTAGCCGCTGCCTACTGCAGGGTATTTACTGGGGAAGGAATCCAACTTCCCTCAACTCCTATCTATACCCATTACTGGGTTTGTTGGTCTTTCAATGGACTACTTTAACAACCACCATAACATACATTTTTGGCCCCTATACCTACGCGAGACTTCACTTGGGAGATCATATATCTGTCCTAATCGAATAACTTTAATTTCTTTGCAATGGATCTTCAGTTTGTGATTTATTTTCCTTTTAATAAGTCAGTGTATATATGCAAATTACCTCAGAGAAATTAACTCAATAGTTCAAATTAAAAAAAAAAAAAAAAAACTTTAAAAATCCTAAGACAAGTTAGAAATAAAAGCAAAATATCGTCTATGATGATAGATTGATAGCTTTCGGCGGAAAGATTCTATTCCAATTCGTTAACTCTCAAGCATTCAAGCTATATTATGAGTACTGAATCAGATACATAAAAAGAAATGTTCTTGGTTTGGTTGGGCTTCATAATTGATACCATTCATTGTCCCATTAATATCCCACTTAGGCACCTACTTTTCTTGATGAGTAATATTATTCTTGATTGGGGAATTCACTCCTCAAGTGTATGATTATATAAAAGAGAGAGCGGAAAGACAATAATGCAAATCCACGTAGCCGAAGATTCTCATTATAACTTCTTCTTCTTTCTTTTTTTTTCCAAAAAAAAAAAAGAAAAGAAATAGTATAAAATAAAATGAGATTAATTAAATAAGTTTTTTTTTAAAAAAATTATATACGTTCAAGGTATAAATTAAATGCGTATTAATTATATTTTTTATTATTAATTTATATAAAATATATAAGTTTATTTTAAATTTATTAATTATTTAATTAAAATTATTTATGTGACACTAATATTAAAAATAATATTTATTTTTACATTTTCTTATAAAAATTTATTGTAAAAAAATGTAATTAATGCACCTTAAATTTAATTATACCCCAAAAGCAAATGTTAAAAAAATACTAATTAATTAAATTAATAATGTTACAATTTTGTGGTAATTATGTGAGTCCATTATTTTAATTAAACCGGCTTGTCTCCGACAAATGGGAGTGATGAAAAATAAAATATCATAGCAAGGACAAATGGGTTTAGTTTTATATATATAGGAAAAAGGAAAACAATATAAGGCACGAAAAGAAAAAGGATGAACAATTATGTTCACTGCCCATTGGTATGAGGGCAAGCTTTTGTTTGTGATCAGGATTCTTGAGCAGCCTGCACATAATACTGCTTCTGGTTGGGTAAACAAAAACTCTCTTACATAAGTTGTCCTGTTTTGCCCTGTTTTATCCAGGGTTTTAAAACTTTATTAATATTATAATTTTTTGAGAACTATGGTTTTAAACTATTTGACTTAGCCAAATGGAGAAATTGAATTCACGAAAGGAAAAACTAGTGTTGCCCCTAGAATTTTCTCATTTTCTCACATAAGTTCTCAAAGAAAAAAAATAGCATGTAAGCCCCTAAATGCTTGGACTTGAGCAAATTAATCCTTGTATTAACGATAGAATCACTTGTGGTCATATAAGTTAAATAATCATTTATGATTTTCACTTGTGTGACAATTTTTTTAACTTGGATATTAATGAGACAATTCCTTTACATTTGAATATTTGCAACGTATAGTTTAAAATTCTAAAAATTAAGAGTTTTTAAATGACTAAGTTTCTTAAATTTTGAGTGATATATTGTAAATATTTTAATGTAAAGAAATTGCCATGAAAGCCAAAAAACAACAATTGTTCAACTTATATGACTGCATGTGATTTTACAGTTAACAAAAGGGATAATTTGCCTAAATCCAAGTGTTTATGGACGCATTTCACGTGCGTGACGCAACGGCCACTTGTTATCCTTTGGGGTAGGCCATGATTTGTATCTCAGGTCTCGAGTTCAATACTCTCCCTACATACTAACATTTCTAACCATAACCCTTATGTGGAAAAAAAAAAAAAAAACAGATAGGGAAAAATCTGGGGGCTTAACATCGGATTTTGGCTTTCATGAATGGTCCACTCATGGTGTACCCAATAGTTTATGGATTATTGGAGGGAAAAAGTCTTTGTCTGTGCAATTACTGATTTTTTTTTTTTTTCTCACGAAGTGAAAATGTTTGAATTTAGCTCCTCAATTTCTGTGATAGCTTTTGCACGTTCTTCGCTAAAATCGAAGCTAATGAAGTATAAATACTGGTACTTATTTGTCTGTCTAGTTTTGTTATCTCTATAGGATGTCATGTGTCGCAATCGATCTAATTGGCTTTAGCCTTTAGGGATGGAAGTTGGTTCAGATGAGAATGTTAAATACTCTCTCTCTCTCTCTCTTTAATACTTTTTCAACCATAAGGAAATGGAATAAATTTTATAGTGCTCAAAAAAGAAGAAGAAGAAGAAATGGAATAATTCTTGGTTTGGACGGTTGGAGTATCTTTGGTGAGTTTACATACTTTAAACAAAATTTTATTAGAATGATTTTGAAAGCATTTCTCACATAAGATATTCAAGAAAAGTGTTCTTCTTGATTCAAGATGTCTTTTTTTTTTTTTTTTTTAATTTAGTTATATAATAAAAGACAACTATTTTTCATTTTTTATTTCATTATATTCGCATGTTATATGATTTGAATTCAAAATCTTTTATTTCTAATAAAAAAAATAACCACTGAACTTCTTGAATCAAATTTAGTTAGTTGATTTAGTACTTTTTTTTCTCTTTAATGAACTATAGAATTAATATATAATTATTTTCCAAATAGACATACCTGCTTATTATAACATGTGTTCATAATAATACTTTTAAAATAAAGATAAAATAAAAATAAGACTTTAAATACCTTCTAAAAAAAACAATTAAAATTAAATAATTATTTTTAAAGCCCATGATTAGAAATTATGACAATTAAACTAGTACAAAAGGTATAATTAATTCTTTTCTTTCTTTCTTTTTTCGGTTTGAAGTATCGATTCATGACTCCAACCCTTTGGATCCAACAAAATCATATTAACTCAAAAAACATATCAAAAATGTTTTTTATAATTCAAATTATGTAAAATCAATCATTGGATGGGAAGACCCTCTAAAATATAATTATGAGAACCTTCCTCTCCATCTAAGATATCCCATTTTTGCATTATACTACAATTATTAATTTAGTGTAGTCTAAATTACAAAATGAAACTTATACATAATATTGTATTTATTCTTCCACTCTTAGGATGTAGTAATTGTCATTAATTTTTTTTTTGTACATTTGATTATAAATTATATAAAAAAAGATAACTTTTTTTTAATTCCTTCTCACTCTACTTAAAACTTGAATTTAAGATCTCTAATTTAAAATTATTACTATTAATATTGTTAGAATCATCAAAATTTCAAATTTTTTTAAAAAATAGAGTTTAAAAATATTAATTTATTAATTAATTTTATTTTATTAACAAATAAATACTAATTATTATGTTAATTAGTAATTAATAATTACTTTTATTAATTAAATTAAATTAAATTAATATTTTTAAAATAATATTTTATAATTTAATAATTGTAATAATATTATTATTAATATCCATAACCGTGACCAATTCTCAAACTTGTACATATTTCACTAGGGGTAAAAATAAAAAAATAAAAAAACTGCTAGAATTGGGTGGGGACGTGGAAAAGGCAAACAAAAGCGAGACAAATCAGGTGTCACCATTCCCAAAGGACCTCTTTCTGACAGTGTGTTACGCATTGAAGTTGAAAAACAGAAATGCGTTTTAAATTAAAGTCGATTTCTGAAATGGACCGGTCGGGTTATAAAATATTGATTAAC